TCAGAAATCAGATGTGTATTCTTTTGGTATCATTATGTATTTGATTGCTACTGGTGAACCACCTTTTAGAGATAGGCGATAGAGGCTTAGCATGTGATATTATGGGCGGACTACGACCATCGATGCTTGATTCCGCACCAGAGGAATACAAGAAATTTGCCGAGCGGTGTTGTGATGCTGATCCTGATAAGCGTCCAGATGCAATGCGACTTGCTATTAATATTGGCAAGCTGATCGGTTCTGATGACAACACGTGGAATACCATATATCATAATGATTTAAAACCCTTATCACGTCTTGAGAAGGAGAATAAATATCCTAGTAAGCACCTACCTACTGGAGATTTGCCTAAACCAAGAAACAGCGATAATTTTCCTCCGCTACCAGATTTCAGTTTGCCAAGTTCAGAAATAGGTTAACATCTTTCATTTAGCGACTTAAAATTTTGGATAGTGAATTATGATGTTTCTACTTATCAGGCTGTAGTCAATACACGTCGAATTAATAAAAAAATTTGATGTCTATAGAAAATTAGAATTGATACATAATGTACTGTACGTAGCCGTGGTAGTAGTTTTTCTTCTAACGTTGATTTTAAACCACAAATTATCCGTAATAGTAATAGTAAAGGTAACCATACGTAGTTTTAATAATGCAGTTATAATCGACAGAATATGCTTTACGAATTATTTGGATGCTACGAGATTAAAGTTATAAACCATTAAATCCGATGTTTCCTCCGTAGTCATTGTTTTGTATGTAGTAGAATGTGCGAATATGAGAAGGCTATTCACATGAACTTTTGCAGCTCTCAACTGGAATGTGTAATTGCATGCAATAGTATTTGTGCAACATAGATGTTAAGACACACTCTACCTAATAGAAAATAAAACCCATATTAAGACAATACTGACCCTTAAATTAATCTGTCACACTATGTAATTCACAGATTTATAAATACTACATTGGTGTACTAGTTCATAAGGTCAAAAAGACAAGGGCCATAGGAAATGGTTAAAATGCTTAGACGGTTCGAGAATGTTTAACCAAAGCTTCTTTAAACGGTGGCGTTATTAGTATTGTTCTCCTTCATAGAATTTTTCAAGGACTAACGCTAAGGCTAACCTAACCGCTTGGATACGCTTATTGGGACACCAATTAATACTTAATTCTGAATCACTCGCATTTACTTCAACAGGTAATAACTGTTACTCCTGCGGATTACACAAAGTTGAAGCACTCTAGTCTGAATTAGTCACGGCTTAGTATGTAATAGTAAGCTTTTCTCGAAAATTACGCGATTTAACGTTATTTATTAATGTTAATAATTTGCTTCGCGTTTCATTGAACTTCCGTTTCGACAGAAGCGTAGTTAAGTACTAGTACCCTAAGACCAATTATAAATTACGTGGACGGCGAATGATTTCAGCGAAATAACTGTCGATTGCCATCACTGAGTGAAATAAATGATGGTGAAATGACACTGTCGAACGAAATGAAACGGACCCAATATTTATCGGCCAAATTTTAAAACAAAATGTAAAATATATATATTTCCGAAGCTCGGCCTTCTTTTGAACTGTAGCTCTTATGACTGAGGCGTTCTGAATTTGTTTTGACTTTTTGGTCCTTTTCTGCTTCTCGAGAAGATAAAAAATCATCTGCTCTATTGATTGTGCAAGCCAAGAATAACCCCGGAAAGACACGCAGTAGTTTCCAGAACAAACACGCAATTTTAATTTTATATGGTGTTCCGTTTATTATTATTTACACTTCATGTCCTAAAACACCATTATTGTGTGCAACGGTAGTTTGTGATGGCATTTTGACGCTCAGGTTGTCCTCAAGCACATAAAGTATAAAAGGTACACTTTCGAAACTTTCTGATCAGCCTTATGCAAGCTGAGCTCAAGAAACCCACATAATTATTATAATAATGAACGAAACCACCATGCATCCATTCTTATATCATAACGTTTAAATTAAACATACAGAAGAATCTGTCGACGCAATGACAAACTTGAAAAAAATACAATAAATACAGCATTCTAGGATAACTTAAAGCATAAAGACTGAGCTATTATAGTCGGTGGGTGTGCATATAACATATGATTCCAAATATTACATAATAATGTAGTTGAAGAAATAGTTATGCCTCCTTAGAATACAATTCGTAATGTGCATATTCGGCAAGTTTAATTTAATTCTCGCCCAGCCACTCATTCAGCTTCTCTTTCAATTGTTTTATCTTGAGTGGTTTGGTTAGATAGTCATTCATACCAGCCTCTAGACATTGTTCGCGCGTCTCCGCTATTGCGGATGCAGTCAATGCAACGATTGGAAGAGTCTGAAGCTCTGGGTTTAACGACCTAATTGCTCGCGTTGCTTCAAAACCCGACATGACAGGCTAAGTTTTAGTGGAGTTTTTGGAATACAGGTACCGAGTGCGAATAGAAAAAAGGTTAACATATCTCTAACATTAATAATAAATGTCAGACGATACACGATCAATGCTTACCATTGCGCAATCCATCAAAATCAACGATATTCCCAGTTTGGACTGTAACAACTGGGAAGAGGAAGACAAGTTCTTTTCATACCGCGCCCGTACCAAATCAACAGCTTCCTTGCCGTTTTCTGCCGTTAAATAATGATAACCCAATTTATCCAGCTGTGCCTTGACGATCTAGGAAAATAAATGATAATAATCAGTTTAATCCATTAACATTCTTGCTGAATAACAGGAATTCTTTAGTAACATACTTTTTGATTGATCGCATTATCATCCTAATATTTATAATAGACTTGTTAGCTAATTATCAAACATTGAAAGACAAAAAGCCAATTGCAGATAAGCTATAATCAATTACCACGCAGAGAATACAGTTGGGTAATCTTTCAGTTTTGCTCCTTGACTTGCTCGCTCTTTCTTCATTACTGGATTGATACTTCAATTCGCTAGTAGCGGATCTCTTCATTGGAACAAGTCGCGCGGTGCCAGTTTTAGACTTGGATTCGCTCTCACCCTCCTTTGGTGGCAGAACACCTCGAACAATAACTGGCTCGTTACTATCTCTTTTCGTTGGATAACAAACTGCAGGTCGATTATGGTTATAGAATTGACTGTATGTTGATAGACTATTTATTTCCGTTCCCTTGTTATTCTCATCTCCAGGCTTAACCAAAAACATGCCGAAATTAGAAATACAATCCATCATACGCTTTTGCATTACCGGCTTGCTAATAGCCGCAACGTCTGCTCCTATTCTCTCGATCATATTCTTCCCAAGCGTGTAACCTTCGATTGACCAAAATACCATCAACACAATTGATAACCCATTTCCACAAATGCGCTTAAGCTCTTTGGCCGCATCCTCAACGTCTGTAGCATTACTATCTCTCACGCTCAAAAATGCCAAATCGAATATAGGTTCGTCGTGCTTCTTCTTGTACTCTCTGGCTGCTTCGATTGCGCTTGTGTAATCTGTATAGGTATATACTTTTTTGACACTTTCCTTAATCAACATCGCGTAAGCTGATCTTGCCACCTCCACAGGATCAATTATAAGGACATTTTTGGCTCGTTTCGGCTGAACTTGTAAATTTGCATTATCATTTCCGGACGGTAGCTTTGGTATTGACGTTAAAGATATATTCCCAATATCCCAAGTAAACCAGAATTTACTTCCTTTACCAACTTCACTGTAAACCTCAATTTCACCACCGTTTAGCTCGACTAGACTTTTGCATAGAGAGAGACCTAGGCCAGTTCCATCTCGGCCGCGAGTCATCGAAGCATCCCCTTGCGAGAAGTTCTCCCAAATGTGATGAATCGACGCCGGGTCAATGCTAAATAAACTGGACAATGAGTTTCAAGAAGAAGAAGAAGAAGAATGAATGAATGAATAAAGAATCATGAGATAAAAGTATATCTTACCCGACACCAGTATCAGATATTTCCACACACAAGAATTTGTTAATATCAGAGTCATCATCTATTGCCATGTCTTCGTTGTTTTTTATTGACAACTTTATCACAATTTCACCATTATCTGTGAATTTGATCCTGATAAATTTAATAATCGTTAGAAATCTAGACACGAAAGCTAATTGCGACCATAGCCGAAAGTGACATTCTTACGCGTTAGATAACAGATTCATTATCACTTGTTGCAGTCTCTCTGGATCCGTCTTTACATATCTCGAAAGAGTCTCCGGGTCGTATAGAACAATCAATTCAAGCTTCTTTGCGCCAACACGCTCACCAAACATTGTCACAGTCTTCTCTACAAGTGCCCATAAATCAAAGACGCGGTTCATCAATGTGAGCTTATGCGCATCCAATTTGGCTGCATCTAGGATATCATTTACCACGGATATAACCACGTCAGATGCGCGGGACATTACTTCAACCATATCTAGTTGTTCAGTTGTGAGCTGTGTTCCTTCAAAGGCAGAAAGCGCTCCAGTAATTGCTCCCAATAGATTACGAAGTTCTGTTTGTTATTAAAAAAGAATTAATACTGTGACAACAAGCATAGAATAACAAGACAATCTTCCTTACCGTGAGATGTATTGGCTAATATTTGACTCTTTGCTCTATTTGTCTCTCTCATGGCCTTCACTTGTGCCTCTCGTTTTAACTTTTCTTCGACGAGAACGGCATGGCCGATAGCTAAACTTATTTGGTTTGAAACCTGATGCAAGAAATTCGTCTCGGGCTTTGTCCATTCATTATATGGTTGTCGGTAAGCGATTATCCATCCCCACGGTGACGAGTTCAAATGAATAGCTGCGCTAAGAAATGACACGCGTTGCTGTAAAATTTTTGATTCGCAATCTGTACAAATTTTTATATCATTCGACAAGGAATCTGGTGTTAAATGCCCATCGTAATAAGTGTGAGCTTCTGGATGTGTTGCCGAAAAAGAACCCATGGCCGTTCTTGCTGGCTGCTGTTCACTATTGTCAGCCATATAGTCCCTAACATTTAAACCACTAAATATACACCCAACAATGTTTTCTGATTCAACTGTGAGAGGCAATGAAGCAGCCATCACTTTACAGCCAGTGCTCTCTTGCTCAAAAGTATCCTGTACTATTAGTAAATAATCACATGATAACACCTTTTTTATTTCCGAGACGGCAGTATCAAGCGTTTCTTGTATTCCAAAACCAGATCGGATTTTGTTGCTGATTGTGAATAGTAACTGCTTAATTTGAACTTGATGCTGTTGTTCGGCGATCAGTCGACGACGAACGTGAGAAAGTTTGAGATTCACGTGAATGCGAGCCATAAGTTCACGAGCATTGAACGGCTTAACGATATAATCGTCTGCACCCTTTTCCAATCCTACGAATACAGACAATTGAGAAACATATTTAACGAGAGAACGTTGACATACGAAACGCTACCTTCGATACTGGCTTCTCCTGTTCGAGCCGATAATAAGATCACAGGAATCGTCTGTGTTGCTGGATTGCTACGCAGTGCTTTAAGCAATTCGAAGCCATCCATGTTAGGCATCATAACGTCTATTTGAATAACGAAAGGGGTTCTCAATATAACATTCCGTAATTCATTCAGCTGTTTACCGAAAGTAAATTAACTGGAATCTCACCACTCAGAATTAGGTCAGGCAACCGTTGTGAGCTCTTTACGATTTTAAGAGCATCACAACCATCAGCAACGGAAATGCAATCAAACTGCTTCTTGATCAAATTGCTCAAATAGTTTCTAATAAGATATTATTAAAAATAGTTTACAACATGAGTTACATAAAATGACGTAAAATTAATATGCACCCGACATACCTCATGTCTGCATTATCATCGACGACTAGAATATATTTTCTTGTACTCTCAAATTCGATATAACTAGGTTCCATATGCAATGCTGACCACCCGTCTGAGAGTGGCGAAGATGTAGAAGATGAACTGTCACTATCGGTGCGCGTCGAACTATATTGATCAGTTTCATTGGGCTTTTGGTTAGACTCCTCCACCTTTTGTACTTTCTGCATAGGCAAATACAAGCTTGTATCCGAATGAATTTGGTTTTCGTATTCTGCATCAAATTGAGAAATATCTCTTTTGCTTCCAAAGTAAACTTGTTGCTGAGGAAGATGGTAAAATCCGGCGGGAATCCAAACGCGAAAAGTAGTGCCGACATTCACTTGGGATGTGACGTGGATTTCACCGTCATGTCGCGCGACGAGTTCCTTAACGAGAGCAAGACCAATCCCAGTACCTTCGCGCCTGTGTGATGGTTGCGACTCGACGCGGTAAAAGCGTTGGAAAATATTTGAAACATGTTCTTCTGGTATGCCAACACCTAAGAATGGCCGGCCGGTCATACGTATATTAGCGCGGTTACATCTTGATATGATGATATAATAATACTTGACATTACCTGTGTCAGACACTTCAAGAACCACCCCTTGTCTCTCCCCTTTTTTCTCTGTAAACAAGCGAACAGTTACTCCACCAGTCCATGTGTGTTTAAACGCGTTCGAACCTAAAAAACAACAAGTTGATTAGAGAATAACATAAAACGCACTATATCAGCGTTAGTTGACTTGTATCGCTTACATAGATTAAATAGTATCTTTTCGTACATCTCCCGATCTAAAAATATTTTCTGATCCATTTGGCGGACAAGTTCTTCATCGCTAGGGACATCGAGCTTAAAGTATAAACTAAGCGCTTTCGCCATACTTTCGAAACTGGCTGCCAATTCTATTGTTAACTTTGCAATGTTCGATTCGCAAAACCATGCGTGAAGTCGGCTTGCCTCTATGTGGGCGAACTGATTTACGACAAATGCAAATGTTAAAACTCCATGCATCAAAGAATATAACATATATATTTCTGTTACGTACTTGAAGCAAGTTGTTTATTAAATTAAGCAATCTTCGGTTATTGTTCTGGATTAATTTGAGATGACCTGATATTGGAGAGTTCCTAGGACATAACTCCATTGCTTCTTCCAAAGGTGAAAGCATAAGAGTCAACGGACCTACACAATAATTGTAAGTTGGTATCATGCGTAAAAGATGATGATACCAATCCAGTCAATAAACAATATAAATGACATACTTCGTAATTCGTGACTGACATTTTGGAAGAAGACAATTTTTTGTCTGTCCAATTCGGCCAATATATTTTTTTGTCTTCGTTCTTCTTCTCGCGATCGAGTTTTTGTAAAAGTGGAACTCACGTGACTAAAGACAAGCTACATCAAACAGAATAAGTTTCAATAAAAACTTTAATATTATACAATCACTTCGCAATATATAATAATCATACCCGGAGAAATTCTTGGTAGTCCTCATCGAGTGCTCTGTGTTTATTGATGCCGCATATCATTACGGCTGTTAATACGTCTTTCCCACTAGATATTGAAGTCACCGGACACAATACAGCCAGCGAGTCATCTGGTAATCGTATTATTACGTTGTCACCACTGTATATTGCACGTTCTATTGGCCATGGTGCAGCAGTGGTTGAATATATGTCCAAATGCTCAATATCTTCCTCGGATTCCGGCAAGACTATCAGATCAGGTGTATTTAATACATTGTCCGGTATATCTCTACTGGATATTCCATGTATATACATATATTCTTCGCTTCCATCAGTTCTTTTGACAGGTACTAGATTATTATCAAACGTCGTGGCTTCTAATCGCATTCTTTTCGGTTTGTTTTCGAATCCACTTTCTTGGTTCTCCACCATATAAAATATAGCATATGGTATATCGGCATTATTTCGGAGAATTGTAGTAATGACGTGACAAGCGCTTTCAATTGACGTCATGCCTAAACAGCATTTTGCATCGGGTAATTGGAATTTAATATTAGGATCCGTCATTTGAATTAATAACAATCCAATAATAATGTATGTTCATCAAAATAGTTGCCTTGCATTCCGTTCGCCAGATCCCTGAACGTTTTCAGTCGTCTAGTCATTAATACTGTACTTGTGTACTCTGGAGAAATATTGATCAATCCTCCTATTTTGCCGTCGTCTGTATATATCGGACTAAGAGACATCGTGAAGTGTGCCTCTTCTAAATAACCCGCTCGTATAATATACGAACAGTAAGCTGGCAAAAGTTGGCCCTTTCCTGCAAGAGCTCTATATTACAGACAACAAGTTAGGCAATACAGTGGTATGTGACAATTGTTTCCGAAATTAGCTTTACATACGCATCAAATATAGGTGTTAAAGCGTCCCTCGCCTCGGGAAATGATTCAAGTGCTGATCTCCCCAAGGCTAACAATGGCAAAGGAAGATTAATTATTCACATATTTAAAATAATAAATAAGATATAGTATTTGTTCTTACCCGCTGGATGAACGTTTTGAAGGACCTGTGTAAACACTGACAGTAATGGTAATAAGAATATAGGTAATCAAACTTAACATAGTCAGTATTAGTATCTATACTTACTTTGATTGTATATTGAAGTTCTGTCAGCACCGACAAACAACGCCATTGGAATCGCAGAGTGAAGACACACATCCTATACATTAAATCGAATCAATATAAGTAATGTCTATACGTGAGTACAATCCAAATTTACTTATTATGACCAAGTCATCCTTATTACGTACAGTTGCTACTTTTAACCAGAGAGGCCAACTGCTCATAGGCCCTAATGGGGTAGATGCCCAATCAAAGTTGCGTACTAACTCTGCTACTGACTGTTCATCATCAACGGTTCTCAAGACTATGTCTGATTTTCTAGCTGGGATAGCTGTAAAGTTCGACATTAGGTTGAGACCTTCAGAGTTACAGCATCAAATGATTGAGTGAAGGAGATAAAGCAATATATCGAGTAAATTATAGACGGAACAAAATATTAATATTGATATGGGTTTTTATATGATATTGTAAAGATTACATAATGATCGAACAATTGTGAGGAGGTTTGTATGATTGGTGTAAAATTAAATATTGACAAAAAGACCAGTCTAGACGGATCACATGCGGGGTAAGTAAACATATGAAGAGTCCACTTCTTATGTCAGTATCAATGAGTTTAATCCACAAGCTGTATCGGTGCTAGAAACCTTTTCAATACAAGTTTATTCTCACTTTGTGTCGCCATGTTGGCTTGAGCTTGGGTATCACAAGCCTGAACATTCTCGAAACATACTCCAAGCGTAATTAACAGATTTATTCCTATGTCTAGTGGTTCCTATGTATAATAAAGAGATGTAAAGGAGGCTGAGAAAGTCTGAAAGGAGGTTAACCAGGAACTGCGCGATGGTCAAATTTATACCAAAAAATTGTCCACGATAGATATTCAACTAATTATACTTGCCGAAAATCATAGGCAAATAGAGTTAGTACAAATACATTACGTCACAATACTTTTTTCAAGTGAGGATACAGTGTGAAAAACATATCGCTTTTTATGAAAAAGCTAGCCACAGGCGTATTTTCAAATCGATACAGAGAATGACAAGCCTGTAGCGCTGCGCTGCATCGTCGTCGTTATATTACTTCACCATTACGACTCGTTTCATAAATAAGATATTCCATTAAAACTCCCCTGCACGAACACATCGGGAGCAGTTTCGCTTTAGTAGGGTATTACTTCGACTAGGTAACTTTTTTTCCATTCATAAATAGGGACTTTTCACTTCCCTCCTTAGTTAATTATCCACCGAGAAGGCCAGGGAGAAGACGAGCTGTGTAGTTTTGGAAACTCGAGGTAATTTAACTCAAAGTTATCCGTTAATAACACCTTTTTGCTACTTGAATAAATTAAAAACATTGTATTTACCTATTCTAAAGCATATTGCAAACTGAATTTACGGCTTCTTTTGTACCTTATTGAGCAATAAAATTTACCTCTGAAAATTGTTGAATGCTGTAACATCAGTAGTACTATGCAACAATGTGTATCACCTAGTCGATGTTATTAAGAAAAGTAGATTTGCACGCGTTATAAACTTAACAAACACGAGAATGTTAATTATTATAATAATGTACAGTTCCAGTTCCCTCCTCCAATGACTGATTAACACAAAATTTTACTAGTAAAACCTTGAAAAGACTCTCTTTTCAAAAACTCTCTGCCCACGTGTACTATGCAAACTACAATAGTTTTTGTATGGTTCTGAAGCTAATCGATTGTGCTTTTTCGAAGATAATAATGATAAAATTATATATATTATCGTTAACAAGTTGAAGTAACTGTCTTTAAATTTACGATGTAAAAATATGTGTAACACATGCTCACACTTCATCGAGCTACTGCTTTATAACGATAATACATAGTCAACCTCGATAAATCAGCCCAGATGGGCTAAGCTAATTTGGCCGACTTATCGAGAGGACCGACTTACAGAGAGCACGTGACCTGACCGGATATAATAAATTTAATTAGCAAAAAATCTAGAGGAGTCTGTTTCATTGAATTAATTCATTTCTTCCTTATTTAATTTTGTAAATCTCTTATTCTTAATACTAAGGAACAATCCATTCTGTTGTTGTAAATAACTCAATATATTTTCGACACTTTCTAAAGCCGTCTGGCAATAGATATAAATCGTCGTTGCTGTTTTTTGAACTAAAGCGATGATTTCATCATCGCCTATGTCAGATCTTGAGTCGATATTAATATAATCTTCTGCATTAAGTTGGACTGCGTCCGTTTGACTGATAAGTGATTGTACGGTATTTTCAATATCTTCTTCAGATTAATTAACATGTTATCGTCTTCGGGGTATAATGCCAGTTCGTTGCCAACAACGGTAATGGTGTTGTCACTTACAATTTTCCATGCTTGAGCCGTCCAGTTTATTGCATGAAATATTTAGGTCGGGAATTTCATAACCATAGTTGTGAAACTCATCGAAAGCGTCGATTCTATCTTTACAGAGCAGTTTCAAGCAAATAGTCAGTTTGAGAAAAACCCATAATCGTTGCACAAATAATTAAACAACTTATTAAATGATTAAATACTTTGAATGAATATGTTATACCCTGGTCTATCGGTTGAAGATGTGTGGTAGTATTTGGCGGCAGATAATACAGTTCAATATTGCTTAATCTTTCATTCTCCTCCAACCGATGTGACGTATTTCTTGATTGAAAATCCTTATCCAGCTTCGAAAAATAGAAGGCTGCATCCACGCCGAATTATTCTAATAGTACAAGACGGGAAGTGTCTTTTATCTACATTACAAATGCAGCGAGGATTTTTAAATTTGTAAATAAAAACTGCCGGTAATTTATGGGTTCCTGTTGCATTGCATGCAAGCCTAATTGTTATCCGATCATTAGGTTTTTTGTTCCAGTAACAGAGTTGCGGGCAAGAGATTTAGCTTTCAATAACGTTTGGCTTCATCTACATTGTATACGTCTTCTAAATCATAATTTGCAATTAAATCTTGAATTGGTAGTCTTAATATTATTCCTTTGTTTAAAGTTCTCTACCCATCCCTATTTGACAAATAACTGATAATTGATAACATAAATTACCACTAACCGCTGATGAATTAAAGTCTGAGATACCCAATTTTGAGCGAATTCTTGAACTAATATTGCACCAGTTACTGTATGGTTTGCTCGGTTAGCAGGAGGGGTCGATCCACATAATTAACGCGTTCTCTATGTTTGGCCATTCATATTCACGATCACGTTTCTTATTGGCAGCTATCGTTTTTTCTGCGATTGCAAGCCATTTTCTTCTGTTCTGAGAATATCGCCTACTGTTGATGAAATAATTCTGCAATGCGTTCATTGTTTTCATTTGGGTGAGAGCTTTATATTCACATAAAGATTTTTTCCTCGATGGCTGTAAGAGTTTTTCACTTTACTACCACCTTTATTAGAGTTAACTACAGTAGATTCCATTTTGCAATTTATAATATCGTTGAAGATTGCACCAACATTCTTTACCAAGACGTGTAAATTTTAGTTTTCTAGTGACATCATTCTTATGTCATGAATACACAGTGAAAGTCAATATAACGAATTCCTCGAGACAGTCTTATATCGTGACACTCCGTTATAATTCCGTTATATTGAACAATGTCTCATCAAGCTCCGTTTATCGAAAAAATCCGTCCTAAGCGAAGTCCGTTATATCAATATCGACTTTCACTGTGTAATTATTTGAACTTACTGTGACACAATGTTCTTAACCAATAGGAAGAACACCTTTAACACGTGAGCAAGGTCTTATCGAGAAATTATATAGATTGGCCGACTTATCGAATATTTTTAAATAGCATTTGGAGTTAAACCAACATTTATTTCTTTACAGTTTGGGTCAGAGAAGTGCTTAGTGATTCTTCTATTTCTTTTTCGTAGTGAAAAAAAAGGGGCTGAAGACACTGACTTACCGAGGAACCGACTTATCGAGGTTGACTATGTGTTGGTATAGCATATTGATTATTAAATTATCCCCTAAGCCTTTTGTGTGACATTGCATGCAACTTAAAATATGCTGTCTGTCGCAAACTTTCTACCTTTATTACATTCTATCCTTTTAGAAAACTCTCCTGGTATTGTCTGCCAACAGCACCGAAGCATACACATGACGAAAACAGAATACACTGTCGACATGTACATTAATGGTATGAAAATTAATCCATCATGAAAGAAAGAAGTAAATTGGAGTCAATAATAGAACGATTCTAGTGATTTTATAGCAATGAACGAAAAAAACGAGCGTATAGTACCAGAATCCATGTCATAATTCCCAAAAATTCAGGTTGTATAAGGTTTTCAGAATGTCTACGTTTTTTTGGGGAAGAAGGCAATTAGAATGAATGGTGAGAAAAGTTTTACATCCATCGCAATGTCGCTAATGTGTCACCTGCGATTTTTCTTCCGCCCACATAATCATACATAACCAACTTTGCCCCACTTACTCATAAAACACAGAGACTGTCCCTATCGATGAAAACATCGCAGACAAAACCAGGCCATGACATGTTCGATCGAATACGAACCACAACGCAATCGATGCCAATACGAACATTATGGATACTTGGCAGTTATTGTATGGAAGTTTCTGGAAATTTGATGAAATGTAAGGATTATTTTGTCGACTGAAGAAAGGTTAAGCAGTTCAAACGGCAAGTTACCGCAGCCGTATACGCTACGCCGATGAATCCACCAATGCATCTGGAAAGAAGGTTTAGTTGTAAGATTTTCGCTGACATACTGTTATATCTTTGTTTTCTACAACTATCTTTCATTTTACTCACCTCATAACATCGCTCCATTCTCTTTGGGGCTTGTGTGAATGTTTCAAATACCAGTAGTCGGTAAACGGAAACAACCACCCAACCAAGACTGCTAAAACACCATGTATGGGCGGTATCAATGTAACAGTGTCATTCAACTTGACAAGGTTCTCCGGATATTCGGTGACATGATTCTGTTCAAGCAGATGATTGACAATAAATGAAGTCAAAAGACCGAGCAGAAATAGTGTGATAAGATGGACAGAATAAAGGTCTAGGATTGTCGATTGTTCTGCTTGCGACGAATTGGATTTATCTGAGGAGAAGGTGTGTGTTGTCGATGTTGTCAAAGATTTTTGCCATATTTCCATCGGAGTTTTGTTGGTTTGTTTAATGGGTGGCTGAATGGTGGACGTGCTTGATGATGATATCATGGATGACCTCCTTTCTGCAACGTTTCTTCCCTTGACATCGTCTAATGCTTTCTCCTGCGAACGTTTTCTCCGATGCTTGTTGGAGTATTGGGAGTAAGTTGTTTGCGATATGGGATAGCTGTGTCTTTTTGAATGGCACTTGGTGCTAATCGCTATGGTTAATGCTTCCATTGATATCTCAAAGGTTCCGTCGTTGGAAGATCTCTTATCTTGAATAACTGTCCCTGGTGTTGAGACGACTGACTGATTAGTCAATTCTTGTGTGCATAAACCAATGTCAATACTTTGCTTATGGGTCGACAACTGGATAGGATCGTGTGGTAAGTTGGAATCGAGGCTAAGAGACATCGTGTGATATTGATGATGGTGATTTTGATTTATTTTTTTTTTTTTGCTTATTGGGGATATTAATATTATTAATTGCTATATATAAAAGATGAAGAAACAAGAAAAGAACGGATATTTGTTATTGACTGATCGCGAAACGCTTATATATAATTTTATGTGTAACATGCAGACTGTCGCTATAGTCATCAAGCATAGAAACGGGAAGAAACAAAAATCACCTAGCAAAGTGGAAATTGACAATTGAATCATGTTGCGAGCGCAGTATTTGTCTTACTTTACCTTTTCCACTCGCGTGATCTGAGAGGATTATTCAATGAGATCGATTAAGGGTCCGATTGATGCGGTGCAAGTTATGACAAGTCTCTTTCTTGCCTATATGTCCGCTGCTTCTAGTGCGTAGATTGGATAAGGCAAGGAAAATATTAGAGGAAATTGATCTGCTGCATCAATGGAGGAATAAAGAAAGAGTTTGATTTATGGGAAGCTATTGTTGCTCATTGTTCCTAGAAATGTCATACGATCCGGGAGAAGCGATCTTATTGGTATAGGCAAAAATCAGACGATGTAGATCAAGGGTGGCGTGATGTAATTATATTAAATGTGATGCTGAAATGCCCGTGACTGGTTTTTTTTTCACTACGTAATGTGTGAAATGTTTGTTACACTACACATGACATTAAATTGCACAAGAATATGTCATGTCTATTAGAGTTACTATTACTGTATGAAATGGGTAATTGGGTTTCAAATTTGGTTTTTGTGCGGGGGGGGGGGGGGGGGGGGGGCCCCCCCCCCCCCCCCCCTTTTTTTTTTAAAAAATCTTCGGGGGGTAAATATAAAAAGGGCCCCCGGGGTTTTTTTTTTTTTTTTTTTTTTTGGGTATGAAGGGGA